TCCTTGTAAATTTATTTTAATATAAAAATTCATAAATAGTTGCAACTTAAAGTGTTGCAACTTAAGTTGCAACTAGTCAAATATTTTAAAAATAATTATAAGAACTACTTTTATATCAGATTAATCTTATAAATTAATTAAATCAACTATTAAAAAAATCCCAAATTATTTTAAAGTAATATGAATAGAATAATTGATATTATTATTAGATTATTGAAAATTAGATTAGTATTGATAGTTCTTCAGCTAGCAAGAGAACTATAATTAAAAATTTACGATACTGCTTAAAAAATAATTATGTAAATTAGTCTATCAGTATTAATATAAATCATTATATATTATAGGTTATAATTCAACTTTGTATTTATTTTTCTTTATATTAATAAAACAAGTTTTTACATTCATAATATAATATTAAATAACTTATATTATTATATAAAATTTTATTGATTATATTGAGCATTTTATTAATTGAATTAAATGCTAAGCTTTTAATTAATATAATCAATTCTTTTATAGCAAATTTTTGATATAATCAATTTTATAATATAATGGATTATTAATATAATACAGATTTTTAAATATAGAAAAAATCTTGCTATATTGAATTTAATAAACTAAAATTTGTACTATGTTTAAGAAATTAAAGTGTATAAATATGTATTATATAAATGTCTCTTTATATAACATATTTATTTATAATAAAGTTTTTTTTTAATATAATAAAGATTTACAAAATGAATTTTAGTAGAAAAGATAAATTTTATATAAGAAATTTTGTAATTTTTTAAATTTTTTATTATAAAAAACAATTTGAACTCAAAATTACTGGATTGCTATTCAACATTAATCAATGCTAACTTTTAAATTTTTTAGTACATATCAAGTTTATGTCTTATTTTATCATATATGATAAAAACTATTATTTTCATCTATATGTATTTATCAACTTTAATTTTATAGTACAATAGAAACTCAAAAACAAAATTTAAAAAAAATATTCTATATTAGATATCACCATCTTTCAGATATTGTTATAAATGTAGCTCATCTGAATGTAAGATTAAAGAATATTCTGATTGTAAATCATTCAACCTATTTAAACTATTATATAAAAGATTTAAACTAGAATAATACTATTCTCTATGTCTCAGATTTTCTAATCTAAATAGTCAAATAGCACATATGTTCATGTACTAATCACTTATTAAAATCAAATCTAAAAAACTAATGGTGACAAATAAGATAGAGTAAATCCTAAAATTAAAAACTCTGCTTCTTTTATACTATTTAATATCCTTAAAAGTACAATTAGGCTGATTGTTAAGATAGAAAATAAACTAATTTACAGATAAAATCACTAATTTAAAAATGAAATATATAAAATGGATAATAATCAAGCTGATATTGATTTTGTTTTTTTTTGTTTGAAAAATATCAACCATATTGATAATAATCTTAATACTTTTAATGATACAGTTTTATAGTGATAATTAGATTATAGAGATTAGATTATAAAGTGATATTTAGATTATAGAGTAGTATTCAAATTATAAGTGATATTATAACCTAGTATAAATATGATACTACTCTTTCATATAATTATATTAAAGAGTGATATCAATGTATATATATATTTATTTATTTATTTAATTTATTTTTATAAAAAAATATTTTTTTAAAAATAATTTTAAATTTTTTTTTAAAAATAACTTTTATTATTTTTCAAAATTTAAAAATATATTACTTTTATAAATAAAAGCAATTTTATGAAATAATAATTAGAAAAATAAATACTTTTATTAATTATTAAATTTATTAGCGTTAGTGAAAAATGCAATATTATATATTGATTGGTTACCACTAAGGTTACGCAAATGTCACGTGTTTCCTTACACAAACTCGACCTTTATGATTATATTATGTCATCAAAAAAGTTCATAATATATAAAGCAAAATATATATTTTTTTTTCTTTTTCAATGGCTTTGTACTTATTAATGAAATGTTACAAGAAATATTTTTATTTATCGGACAATGTCACACGATATCAATCTTTATATAGATCATGTTTATTGGTCTGCCGAAATTGATGTGGAAGTATTGTATTCAATACCCATTTTTGATCTTCAAAGACAATTATTGAAACTTATATATCAGGTTTATAAATATATTCAAAGGTACGATTGAGAAATGCTGGTATTAATGTTAGAAAGTTCCTTTTATAATTATGCGTCATTTTTACGTAAATTGGAATTTGAAGGATTTTATAATAAGGTAAAGAGGTATCTTGGATTTGAAGATATTGTGTCAGAACAAAGTTCTATTGTTATATCGAAAACTTTTAAAGCACATTGTAATGGATTGATTACATTGTGATTATCATTAGTTTACGATAAGAAAGATAAGAAAAAGGATTTAAATGATATAGATTGAAGTTATCGGTAATAGGATGGAATCTTTATCATTATGGATTTTTTTGGAATGTAAAAAATTAGTTCTCGCCAGTAGAACAAAATTTAAAATAGATTTATGGATAATCAAAATTCCGAGACGTTTGCCAATTTCTTTATCTTGATAATACGCTCTTATTCGATTATAGTTCCTTATAAAATTTTGTCAAGGCTTATTTGAAAAATTTACACTTTAAATGTCAGGAATTTCATGAAGCAAATGTATTATTGACTTTAGTAGAAAGTTACATTGAATTAGGTGTATTAAATTGGAAGGCTCGAATGATTTAATTTGGAGTACGGGGGTTTAAAATTCGATTGTTAATCGGTTTTAATTTTTTCCGACATTAAAAAAGGTATATAGACGATTAATAGAATTTTTTGACACTTTTTTCCTAAAAAAAAAAATCATCATAAATACTCAAAAAAAAATAATAAATAAATAAATAAAAAAAAAATAAAAAAAAAAAGTGAGAAAAGAGAAGAAATAAAATAAGAAAAAAAAAAAAAGAATCTTGTATTGTTGAATATTTGATATCATATAATACAATTATTAAAATTATTCTATTGTATTTGTTTATTTATTTAATTTTTTTTTGTTAAATGATGGTTTTTTTAAATTTATTTAAGGTCAAATTTTCCCCCTAAAAATAAACATATTTCTTAAAAAAATCTTTTTGGCCTTTGACAAGCTATTTTATTTTATCCTCATGAAACAACAAACAACCAATCCTTATGAAAAATATTATAATAGAAGGTTGTGGCTAGAAAATGAAATAAAGGATCAGAAAAATCCGTTATACACTTTATTTAAACAATCTCGTTATTTAAAATTTATAATGACTCAATATGAAAGAGAGAATAATGTTGAATTAATACCCTGTAAAGAAATTAAATCATTTTATCAACGGTTAAAAAATTATAACGAGTTATCATCGATTAAACAACATTTTAATAATACGGAGGAGAATGGATATGCGTCAATTACATTACTGATAGAGAACATGATAGAAGTATTACATCATACGCCAAGAAATAATATAAAAGATATAGAATTAACAAGAAATCTTGATATATTGTTTAAGGATTGGCCAACAGATCAAAAAGAAATTGACGAGCATGATCCTATATTAAATTTTGATGTATCTAATATTAATTTAGTAATGAATGTTTGTGATGAATTAAAGACTTGCATCGAAAATTTACTAGAAGATAATGGATCTTTTGATAAGGAAGGAGGAAATGATAATTCTAAATTGATTTACTATATTAAACATTATAATGAAATATTATCTGATATTGAAGATAAAAATGAAGAAAATGAAGAAGCAATTGAGACGAGAAAAGTTGATAAAAGACAAATTAATGAAATTAATGAGAGTGAAGAAGAGATTATTGTGGCCAATAGCGAAAGTTCCAATGCAAGTACTGTTAATGCAAGCAATACTAAACGTTCTAAATTTTCTTTAAGAAAAAAAACTGATGAAAAACCTAAGGGTATGTTTTTTTATTTATTTATTTATTTATTTTGTTAAAAAAAAAATAAATAAATAAATCAAAAAATATTAATTAATATTCTTTTTTTTCTTAGATTTGGTAAGTTCGAATACGCGTCGTCGTAGACGTGGACGTGGAGCAAAAAAATAATTAGTTTACAAATTTACAGCACGAAACCACATTCTTTATGTATTGCTTCATACTTGTATACAATAATTGCATGAATTGTTTTATTTTCTTTTTAATTTTTCATTTTTAATCTTTTCTTTAAGTTCTTTAAGTGAACGTTATGAATATATATATATATATTTTTAAATATTAATAAAGGAACAATTAATGAAAGAAAAGTTGCAAAATAATTTTTGTTCGACATTATCACAAATTTTATGAACCGCTGAAAGTTTCCAGCTTAAAGATGGGCTTAACTAAATATTGTTCGCACTAATTATATGAATAAATAATATTTCCTTGAAGATTTACTCACTTGTAAAGAGACGCATGATTATTCAAAATGACAAAAAAGTTCTTTTTAACATATGAAAATCCATAATCTTCATAATAATCTACATTATGATCCTCCGAAATAAAATAATTAATTTGGATATCTTTAATAATACTATGGTTGATTACTAAGAAATGTCCATGTTAACACGTGTAGGCCTTTATGGATTACTTTTCTTTTATTTGATCTATTCAATTACTTAAAATTAATGAATTGAAAATTTTGTTATAAAAATCGTAGTGGATTCCTCAGGTTTTCACAGTATATATAATTTTCTATATATACTTTTTTTTTTTAATAAATTAATTTTCTCCTTTTCAACAATGACCAAACCAATTGTAAAAAAAAAGCTCGAACGTACACTTTCAAGACAAGAAGTAGAATCTGCTTTAAAAGACTTCACATTAAAAAAAGTAGTTAATGACACTTACGATTCTTTATCGGATTCGATTTCATTATCTTGGAAAGATGTATCGTATACAATAACAGATCCAAAATCCAAAAAAAAAAAGCATATCGTAAAAAATGTTAGTGGAATTGTTGAACCCGGTGAAGTTTTAGCAATAATGGGACCTTCTGGAGCCGGTAAATCCTCGTTCTTGGACTTATTAGCCGGACGTAAAGATCCAAAATCCATTTCCGGTGAAATTTATCTAAATGGTAAACCAGGTGAAATTAAATACGTTTCAACTTATGTAATGCAAGATGACGCTTTAATGGGTAGGTTACCTTTAATGTACATTGTTGGTTATTTACTGCGGTGATTAATGGTTATTATAATGCGGATTTATTATTGACTAAGGTGTTCTTACGGTGCGGGAGAATATTCAATTCGCTGCTGATTTATGGTAAGCTATCATTGCAATTCCTTAAAATTTTACCATTCAAAAATAAACCACCTCTCTAATGTCTTATAGTTTCCCAGCCGAATACTCACTCGAAAATAGAAAAGCACGTGTCCAAACCATAATAGAAGAATTTGGATTAGAAAGAGTAGCTGATAGTAAGATTGGAACAGTATTCGTTAGGGGGATAAGCGGAGGAGAAAAACGTAGATGTGCGATAGCATCCCAAGTTCTCACTTTACCTAAAATAATTTTTCTTGATGAACCTACGACTGGATTAGATTCGGCTGCGGCGTATAACGTAATGAATGCCATTGTTGATATGGCAAGGAAACATAAACTTACGGTTATAGCAAGTATACATCAACCATCCACAGAAACTTATTCTTTATTTGATAAATTATTATTACTTGGACGTGGTAAAACTTTGTATTTTGGTAAAAGGGAGAATGCTATAACTCACTTTGAAAAATTAGGATACGCTTGTCCACCTTACGCGAATCCAGCCGATTATTTCTTGAGATTGGTAAATAGTGACTTTATGAAAGATATAAATGAAGCTGAAGAACTTATTACAAGCTTCAACGAATCTTTTTTAAAATCAACTTATAAATTAGAAATTGACTCACAAATTGACAATATAATCTCCAGATCAGTTCATGAGAAATATGATGATGAACCAATCACAGAGGGGATTGCACGAGGATATCCTCGTAATTTCTTTGCTCAGACCATGATTATAATGAAAAGATCTCTCAAAAATTCCACGAGAAATATATTAATGTATTGGATAAGAGTAGCGATGTATGTTAGTTTAGCAATATTGATGGGTTCAACATGGTGGCAAGTTGGATATGAACAACAACATATAGGTGATAGGCTATCGTCTCATTTCTTTTCCGTTGCGTTCCTTTGTTTTATGAGTGTAGCTGGTATACCAGGATTTTTGGAGGAACGTTTGGTATTTCAACGTGAACGTTCAAATAGGTTTTATTCTGTTGGTCCATATGTATTAGCTAATACATTAATTTCAATTCCATTTTTAATGATTGTTACTATATCATTTTCTGTATTTGCTTATCCTATGATTGGTTTGCAAGGTGGTATGGAGAAGGTTACCAATTTCTTGATATATCTCTTTTTATCTTTATTGGTAGCTGAATCCATGGTTGTTTTTATCTCCGCTGTTATACCAATATTTGTAGCAGCTTTAGCTATCGTTGCTTTTGCTAATGGTTTTTTTATGGTAGTTGAGGGTTATTTCGTATCAAAAAAAAATATTCCAAAGGCATGGAAATGGGCTCATTATGTTGATTATCAGAAATATGCCTTCGAAGGTATCGTTAAGAATGACCTTACTGGATTAACGTTTCTTTGTGAAAAAACTGATCAACCAGATTGTTTCTGTTTACATGGAGGACAAAGTGCGAGTGAACGATGTAATTTTTCTGGACAAGATATTTTGGATGATATGGGTTATGGAGAAGTTGTCATTTCTAAATGGGTGGTATGTACGCAAATCAATGGTTAACGTGTTTATCTGATTAAATTTATTAATTCTTCTCTTCTTATAACATTAGATCGCACTTATTGGATTAGTAATCGCTTTCCGTGTTGGTTTTTATTTAGCCTTACTTCTCCGAAAAAACCGTCATTAAAATAAAAAATTATACCACATTAATTCTAGAAATCTTTTCGTTATAAAAGTTTCTTACTAATTATAATCGATTTATTTTAACGCACTTGAAGTGTGGTTTCTTTGAAATTTTCATCGTAATGAAATACTTTATTAAATTATTTATTTTATTTCTTTTATCTAATTTAATCTTAATCAATCGATCAATAAATTAATAAATTTCTAATATAAGAAAAAATATTACAACGGTACTGACCGCTTTATCAATTGCTTGTGATATTGATGTAGAAGCTTAATTATAATAAATTATTCTATTTGTTTCTCACTCATTTCTCTGATAATAACGCAAAATTTCTCTTTAAAGGTATTGAATGATTTGGGTAATATGTTGGTATAGGAATGGAACGGAATATTGTCTTGCTTCACTTCAAGTAATAAATTCATTGTGAAATCGATCACCTGAAATGCGCAATTATCTTCGAAACCATAGGTGCAGTGCGACGCAAGATTTAATAAAAGGGAAAAACATCATACCACTTCACAGGAATCGTCTACAGCACTACGGCAACAATGTCCAATCAGCCATACGCTGGCCATGCGGGTGAGTATAAATTCAAATAATACAAGAGGATTGACTGTCACCTTTCGGCTAATTTACTTGTGCTTAAAATTCTTTGTAGATATCATTACCTATCTCGATAACAATGATCCATCTAACGAGTCTTTTTCTGACTTCCTTTGCTCAAATTTCAACACGATCTTAAATTCACCACCTGTTGCAAATGACATTAATACTCTCAACGGTACTTGGTGGAAACGTTTCACTTTTGAAGTAGAGGTAAAAGGCCACAAGGCTGTTAAGGTGAATATGCTTCAATTTTTTTAATTTTGTTAGAAAGGCACCTCCTGTCATGTCACTACCTGACGTGGAGTGAGTAATTTACTCGCCGAGTGCTAGAGGGTTTTTAAAAAATCTTACCATGTCACAACCTGGTCAAGAGGATCAGTACACTTACTGCTCCCTTTATGCGCGACTTTCCAACTTTCCTTTTTGTTGTTCTTATTATGTGAACTGGTCTATTATCTTACTAATCATGAAAATATGGGTGGTATGCTATTAAAATTGAGGTACGGATCATATGATTTACTATGTCTCGTACCTCAATTTTAATAGCATACCACCCATATCTAATTAAACTCGAAGGGGCTATAGTTCATTAGACCGTTGGTAAAAATAGGGATGACGTTCACTATGGCTACGATGTACTCTCTATCCAAATTTGACAGTACCTGATATGCTAATATCTAGTTGGGGGATGTGCTCAAGTGATAAGGATGAGTGGAGCAGATGAGTTGATGACATTAAAATTAAAGCCTTAAAAGAAATCACCGAGGGAAACCTTGAAATTGTAGGGACTTACCTTAGATTGGCTAGCGTATCGTCATTAACGACGCCAAGTTTACTTCGGTACTTGGTCGTATACATAACTGCCTTTCGTTTCTGAATCATCTTAAAAAAAAAAAAAAATTAAACTCGAAGGGTCATCTTTTGGAAATCCAAAATTTTTTAACAATGTAATTTCTACTCGATTGGAAGTATGTTTACTTTACTAATTCCCAGCACTATTAGCAGAATAACGTTTTTGTTTATAATTTTAAACATTACAATAATTATTTAACATGTTTAATAAAACTTGTTTATAATCAGTCAGAGACTAAGATTATTGCGGACAATCAAGGTGTTGACCTTGTGAGAGCATCATGTGGATTTCATGGATCTGAAATGATTGCAGAATATTCACTTAATCAATCAGATCCAAAACGAGACTTAGATGAAGGTATTGGAAGCGATCTATTTTCAAAAAACCACGAAGAATGGATGATTATACAACTCCGCCAATCAGGGTTAGGATATAATCTTAATATTAAATTTTCACAAAATTCTTTAATTAACTTTTCGGACGTAGTATATACAGATTAGAAATTCCGGTCCTCAACCATATAATGAAGAATCGTCTTCGCCTGAATCTGAAATTATACCAATTTCACTGACAAATGTATTTTATGAAGTACAATAGCAAGAATCTGTTAATCTCACCGAATTTAATATAAGAACAACTAATAGCAAAGGGAAAAAACCGACTAAAAGTTATATCAACAATGATATAGCTAAAGAGATATTAACGACGTACAGAATGCGCGTTTTACCAGGGAAAAAATTAATACATAAGGGGGTAGATATATTGGAGTCTGCTCATACTAATATGAGAAAAAGTGGAGTTACAAAAAGCCCCCTATGTATAGGAGTGATTAATGTTCATAACTCGGATTGCACAAGGTTTTTGTTTCAAGATCCTGAATGTCAAGCCATTTACTTTGATAAAGAACAACATATACCTAAGTTTGTGGTTGACTGTGAAGTGGAGTAATACAATTCTTAAAAAGTTTTCTGATGTATGCGATCTGGAATCTTTAGCTAAATGTTTAAATGAAAATCAAATCGATACAGGCAATGCGTCTAATGACCTCATAAATGCGCGAACGCTATTGGATCAATTTTTCTTTATGTACAAAAATGATATATTATTACAACCAATGTCTGAATGCGAACTTAATACTTATATTTGGACACCACTAATTAGAAAAGCATTTTTTTGGAAATGCTGATATTAAATTAAGTTGTAGGGAACTTGCATCCAATTCTTATGAAAATTAAAAGAGCTTTTAAATATTGGTGATCGAAGTGCCCTTAGAAAGGTCTTCTAAAGGCATTAGGAACAGGATTACTTGTACAGGAAGATGGGGTTTTAAGTACACGCGGCAAAGAAAAGGAGACTTGAATAAATTAGAGTATTGTTTAAAAGTAATTTTGACAACACTTTATATCGCAATATCAGCAAAAGATTTCATTACAGATTGAAACGTATAGTCTCCAATCAAACTGATTTCATCTTACAGCATCTGCATCCAAATATTTGTTTGAGAACACTATAATTACTATGGATCTAAATCCCTAAAACTATAGAAGGTTTCCCTAAATTGATAAAAGCTATTAAAGTAATTCTATCGTGAAAATGAAATACTAAATAGGTAACAGCCATCACTCCCTTAAAGTATAAATCACAGGTGATATGTGAAATGAATATTTACATATCATGTGATTTTAAAACTGGAATTGAACCGCAGTTGTATACGGTTTGAACATTTAGCTTTTTCAGTTGGCCAGCCAATTTACAATGAAAGTACTTTCATTTTTTATTTTTCAAATAGTATTACAATGCACTTACACATGAAAATACAAAATTTGCTAAACTGCTAAAACGCTATACTAACAAAAAATCTTATTCTTGTTGCTTTTCTGATCCCTCACCATAATTATATTGATAGTTATATTAATGACATTAGCATTTTGTGGAAAAAAAAGGAGGGTAAGTATGACTGGCCTAGAGATCGCAGATGTTTCAAGAGATAGTATTACTGGTCTTGATGGTATAGGTGTATTTTTGACAGTTTTAGATGATGATAAAAAGATTACTTTGCTTAATATCCTAACGCTCTCATTATGTACTCATTCGAATGGAAGATCTAGCAAAATTAAAATATATCTATTATTACTAATAATAATTTGAGAAGCATCTAATTCTTAAAAGTGTAGTTACTGAACTTCAACCAAAATTCGCTAAAGAACTCCTTATAAATCTCCTCTCCAATTAAACTTCTTTTTTTCCTATCCTTTTTATATTTTACAGCTGTCTAATAAAATAATAATAATAAGAATATTATCAGCCAGATTCTTTATAGAGCTAAACAAAAATTACTTACTTTATAAGCCTTCTTGAGATTTTTGAACTTCTTGTGACAGTCCGTACTAGTGAAAAAATTGGTATTTTTATATTCATTAATTTTTTTAGCAATATTATCCCAAATTAAGAGTTTCTTTTTATTTAGAATAAGGTGAAATTCAGCATTTCTTTGTTTTGTTTATCAATAAGAAAGTAGATCTGAGCATTACTCTATTCAATAGAAAGATATAATTTTACATATTGAGAAGAATTCTAGGAAATGAGTACTTGTTTTATAAAGAAATATCTAATAATATGAACAATAAGTATGATAAATATATAATGATTAGTCGAATGATAATGGTAGCCTAGTTTCCTTTTATTTCATTAACTAATCATCCCATGATTTTAGCAATTAGTTAGCATTGAAATAGTATTTAAAAACTATTATAAAATTGACAGGAAGCTAGGATAATTTCTATAATATAATATATGTCATAAATCTGAAACAATTTAATTATTATATTATCTCAGATCTAATTTAACTGAATTATACTATTAAAAAATTTCTTTTATGTATATGAATATATATAAACAGATGTAAACTTTATATAAACTCTTGATATTAAAGATGATTCCCATAATTATTTTTAAAATTTATATATTAAAATAAATTTACAAGGAATTGCAACCAAGTTGTAACTTTTTAATTATAGTACTCATCTTTAATTATAGTAATAACATAGTATTAATATGGTATTTTTTTCAAATCTAATAATAAAATATATTATTTGATATGATATTAGTGTGATAATTCTTTTAGATCTATTATAAGTATTTTTATTTAGACAATAGGTCCTACTTTTACGTGACTTTAGTCAAGCTCAGCTAGAAATTTTCAAATCTATTTGTATGATCTAAGTCAGATTAATATATATTACAATCATTTGATATAAGATGACTTGGTCTACTAATTTTTCCCTAAGGTTGCTGGACGAAATCAAGAGTTTAGACAGACGTTTAAATGGTAAAAGTAAAACTTGATTAAATTATATTAAAACCTTATTAAAAAATCTGTGAAATTTAAAAAAAGGTAAAACTATATCAAAGCTTATAAAAATGGCGAAACTATATCAAACACTTAGTAAAAATTTAGCGAAACTAAAGGTTTTACCGTTTTGCCAAATCCAAAATGAGTTTAGACAAGCAACCTTATCTTTCCCTTATATAATTGTTAAAGATGCTTGCTAAAACTTTCTCAAAATAATTTTGTCATATCTTTTACTATGTTTTTAATATAGTTTCAGTTAATTTTGAGTTTCAGAATTTAGTTGTATCCCTCACTATGTTATAATATCATTTTGACTATTTATTAATTGCTTGTTTTAGGTTTTGTCCCTCATCTTTAATATGTGGTTAAAGAAGACATATAATAGCTTAACTTTAGACAGATTTTCTTTTCAAACTAGAAAAAATAAAAAAGTTTTTAGCTATGTAATTCTAAGAATTTTTTATCAAAATTTAGATTTTTAATTGCATTTTGATTTTAATTACATTTAGATTAAAATGTAATAAGATATTAATTTTAGTCAAAAATTTCTCAGAACTTGATTTTCTTAGATTATGACTTATATGATTAAATACTCTCGTTATTTTTTCATATTCAGAAAAAAATATATTATAGATCATAGATAACTAATCATAGATTTTTACTTTTCTCTAATATCAGAATATGATTAGGTTTGCGAACAAATATTGCAAGAAGAAATCAATTCCTATCACAATATATAAAGAAAATAATAGTTCTACTTTATAACTACAATTGCAATTATAACTGAGTATTATAGCTGAGTATTATTGTTAGATAATAAGTAATTTATTATCTGTAGATTTGATAATATAAAAAATTATTTTGTATTGCTAGAATCTGATTAATAAAATTATTGATATAAGCATTTTTTTTTCGCATTTCTTGATTTTTTATTATAATAATATTATTATGGGTAAAATTTTATGTGCAAACTTTTTTTGCACAAAATTATATTTAATAAAATATTCTATTTCAACTATAAATATATTACTGATAAACTTTCAGATAGCCTAATCAGAAGAGTATATTAAATAAAGTCTTTAGAATCACTTTAAAATTCCTACCCTATTAGAAATAATTTTTGGGAAGTCTGATTGAATTGAATTATAACTAAGACATAAATTAGAAGTTTATAAAAACTCATTAAATTGAAAATGCAAATTTGTGATACAGAAGAAATTAATACGTTCTTAAAGATGATAAGAATGTAATGTAATTTTAGCATTATCAACTAAGTTTATTTTAGCAAATGATAATATTCAAACTGATAGTATCACATGTGATCATAAAAGAAGTATTCTGCTAGCATCTATTTAACTATAATAAAAATATTTTTGAGAAATTCATGCAGGATATAGAAGAAAAGTATAATGAATAGATTAGGGTAAAAAAGAAATTACAATATGAGATTGAGAATCTAAAAATACAGGTGCAGGAGGCAGAAAAAATGCTAGTATCTGTGAAATCAGATTCTACTTACTAACTTGAACATTTTTTTCAAAAATTTGATCACATCTAGCTTATATCCTATGTGAGTAATTTTGAGGTACTATTAAATCAAAGATAATAAAATTTTGATTACACAAACAGTTATCAATATCTTTATACAGTCAAATCTTGATATAGTGAACCTTGATATAGCAAATGTTTAAATCAAATATATTAAAATTATCTTACTATAGTGAACTAGCCAATTAAATTCTTTAAAAATTCATTATAAGCTTATAATAAAGTTAATATTCAGATCCTAGAATTCATTATATCAAGAGTTTACTGTATATACTGTGTCAATCATTAGCATATAGGTAGAGAATATGAGCTAATTCATCTGAAATTGATTCATTAAAAAGTATAACATAATTTAAGTTTTTTCTTATCAGTTTTTGATAGTCAAAAAAACTTTGAGAGACGTAAATATTGCTAATATTATCATGATACCTTTTAATGAAATAAAGAATAATTTTCTTTTAAATATTCTTTGAATCAATACACAGATCTTTGAATATGACTAATGTATTCCTTTTTGGAAAAAACGAATCTGACTTTAGAATTTTTTCAGGTTTTATAGTCTAAAATGTGATTTCTTCATAATACAATTATAGGCTATTTGCAATTATTTGATAACTGATTTGGAATACATATATTTTAGCTCAAAATAATGGCTGATAAGTATTAAATCATCATTCAAAATATATCTAGTGCCACTTTTTTTCATTGAACATTCAATAAAGTTTGTTTCCCAATAATAGGTTCACAATTTCATTAGTTTTTTTTGAATTAGAATGATCACTAATTAATAATGTAAAAGGCCATTGAGGAGTTGAGTTCAATAAATTGTATTTTTTCACATCTTTTATCTTATCGATATGGAAAACAATTCTACCTACCAGATCAAGCTTTTGACTTTCATATTAGCTAAATTAAGTATTATTAATGATATACTAAAAATAATCTTGCAAATTTTATGTATTTTTTTCCTTCTTTAAAGCTTTGCTTCTTATAGAAGATATTTTAATCTCTTTTTTCTCTAAGCTATTATTCACATATTTATTCAAAA